AGAGACGGGGTTTCACCATGTTGACCAGGATGGTCTCGATCTCTTGACCTCGTGATCCACCCGCCTCGGCCTCCCACAGTGCTGGGATTACAGGCTTGAGCCACCGCGCCCGGCCCTCTTTTCTTTTCTTTTTAAGAGTTTTAATGTATTCCTTAGGTACTGGCAGTTGCTTTTCCCAGTCTGTTGCTGCTTAGGAAATTTCTAATGGTTAATGTCAGATCCCAGGACACCAGGATAATGCTAAGAAAGGAAATAGTCTCAGAGAATCTTGGTTTTTAGCCACTGTCTTACTCTGCAGGAGCCGAGAGAAATAGGAGCAAGGATAATTTCTTTCCTTTACCAGCTGCTGAAGTAGACCTGATATTTGGGTTGGAAAAGTGTATCAACTCACCTCAATTTAGAGAAATTATTTTTAACCTCAAGAAAATAACATATGCATTGCATCACTGAGGAGGCTCTTCTGTGGGCTTATAGCAGGAAAAATCCAGACACTCGATAGGGCTATGCTACAGATATGGTGGCCCATGCAAGGAACTGGCAGTTGTTGGAGACAATGACAATGATTGACACTTGTCTGGCAATTTACAGCATACTGTTTCAAATCTCATTTAATTCTCTCAGTAAGGCTGAGACAAAGGGGTTATTTTTTGCACTCCACAGATGAGGAAATAGACTTGCTTTCTTAAGCAACAGGCAGTGAGTTACAATCCAGAAATGAACATAGTCTCTCTGTATCCCAATCCTATACCCTTCCCAGTAAACAGGTTCTATTTCACTGTAAGGCAATCAGTTGTGAGATGTTTCACACAAGAATTCATCATTAACAAAAGCTTATATTTGACAGTGATAATTTAGAATCATAAATCAGAGTCTCTCATTTTCTTGTTTTGAAGTGCTTTTATTATTTTTTTTTGAGACAGGTTTTCACTCTGTTGCCCAGGCTGGAGTGCAGTGGCTTGATTTTGGCTCACTGCAACCTCTGACTTTCAGGTTCAAGCGATCCTCTTGCCTCAGCCCCACTAGTAGCTAGGATTACAGGCAGCCACCACCATGCCAGGCTAATTTTTGTATTTTTAGTACAGACAGGGTTTTGCCATGTTGGCCAGGTTTGTTTCGAACTCCTGACCTCAGGTAATCCACCTGCCTCGACCTCCCAAAGTGCTGGGATAAGAGGCATGAGTCACTGCCCCCAGCCTGAAGTGGATTTTTTGAGCAGGAAGAATAGGTCAAATTGCAATAAGCTATCTGGGAAATCACACACGTCAGTTATATCTGTGCAATAGTACTAACAGACCATGGCTGGTGAAGATAATAGTTGTCATGATTGTAAGTTATTGCCTTGCTTTCTTCGCTGGAAAACACCAGGTTTCACTGTAGTTTGAATCTGAGTACTCCTATGACTGTGTGCCTGCTTGTGTGAATATCATCCATTTTTAATATCTCTGAAAGACATCAGTGGAGGACTGTGGCTCATCGTGCAGCCTTCCTGATCTGACTGTGGTAGTACACATACTACCTTTCAACCCTGCTGTGCCTCAAAGCTGGGTACACATCCCTAACACATACCCTTTGCTTATAATGAAACTTCTAATGGACTGTTGCTTATAGGGAAAGCTTGTATAACCAACTCTCAATTCTTCTTTTTATATAAGGTCAAAACTGCAGTGTTCTGTTAATGGCCATACTACTACAATGTCTGTAGATACAAGCAATAGAAAACTGTAACATTCTTACAACACAAATACAAAGTAAACATTTTTGAAAAACTGGGAATTTGCTGAAGCATCACTACTGGCCACTCCCCAGAAATTCAGAGGTTGGACAGCCTAGTGTGATAATAGAAACACTCGAAATGTTTGGGAGACTTTTTTTTTTTTTTTTTTTTTTTTTTTTTTTGAGATGGAGTCTCGCTCTTATCACCCAGGCTTGGAGCACAGTGATGCGATCTTGGCTCACTGCAACCTCTGCTTCCCGGGTTCAAGCAATTCTCCTGCCTCAGCCTCCTGAGTAGCTGGGATTACAGGCACCAACCACCACGCGCAGCTAATTTTTGGACATTTAGTAGAGACAGCGTTTCACCATGTTGGCCAGACTGGTGGGAGCCATTTTTATGCAAACTTGTGATGTTGTGCTGTTTCTTTTCTTTAAGGTTAAAAAAGGCATGTTTTGATGCAAGAACACAGGATATGAGTGTGCACTAAATGAAGATCTACATCTATATAACAGGTTCTCATTGGCAGGGAGAAGAGATTTTTATCTTTCAGGAGATACTCAGCAACATCCGGAGACCTTCTTGGTTTTCCCGGTTTAGTTAAAGCTATTGGCATCTAGTGTGTAGAGGCCAGAGATGCTGTTGCTGGTAAACATCCTGCAATGCTCAGCCTTTATCCCTGCGGTAAAGAATTATTCACCCCAAAATGTTAACAGGGCTGAGGTGAATGAAGGCCTAATCTACACTGACACTAAAATGATAAGTACGTTGGTAGAAATTGTTATCTGATGCAGCTGAGCAAACTGCAATGGGGTTCAATTATAGAAGGGAAAAAAGCAGT